CAATTTCTTAGAAAATATAAATAATAGCAAAGCAAATAGGAGAATAATAGAAATACGAGCAGATATAGATTCATTCGAAACCCGTTTTATCATTCTTTTATGATGACGTAAGACGATGTTAGACAGACAGAATTCTTAAAAATGCTTAATTTTGACCTTTCTTGCCTTTTAGTTGCCTAAGCATGTTTATGCGTTTATTTTCTAATATAATAAAATATTATATTATTATTAATTAATTTGTTATATTCAAATTCAAACATCATTTATTCATGCAGGGCTTTTTAGCCGATTATGAACGTTAAATTTTTTACATTATAATTTTAATTTTTTCCCCACCGTCCAGTTCAGTATATAGATCCAATTGAGAAGAACTGGCAAGAAACTCAATTGAATTACTTTTTTTTGAAGCCAGTTTATTTACAATGTATATTTGTGTCTAAGTGCATGAACAACTATAGCCATGCACGCTCGTCATTCAAGTAATCGTTTAGTGAGTAATAGGCTTTGCTCAATAAATATGATTTAACAGATGTTTTGAATTTATTTAAGGGTAATTCCAATATATCCTTTGGTATCTTATTGTAAATTTTTATACCTATTCCCATAAAAGACCTATTGTATTTTTCTATGCGATACTTGGGGACAGCAAAAATATTGTGAATATATAGAAATAGGCGGGTAGGATTTTGTTAATAATGGGGATAGTAACTCAATTGCTAGCAACCAGGTCGACCTCCACGCGGTGCCCCTTCCCCTGTTATATAGATGGAATGCCAAGTGGCTCACTTGACGGCAAGTGACAGCATCTTAAAATTCTCGTGTCACAATGATAGTTACCATACTCCTCCGAAACGGCTTGACTTTACTTATGAAATTTTATATGCATATTCAGTAGGTCTGAGAATCGGCTGCTATCTATCTAATTATATATAATTTTAAAATTGCCCAATTCCCAAAAAAAATCTTATAATTAGACCTGTAGCGCTGCGACGTACATAGATCTATTGTGCTCGCCGTTTTTCAGAGTTCGCTACCTACACCCGTCAGGGACAAGAATTGAAGGATATTCTTAGGAGCGATCGTTTTTATCTCCTCGGGAAATAGTGTAAACTTTCCAAAGGAGATATTTCATTTATGCATGAGTGGGCTGCAACCACATAGGATGTGTAGTGGAGTCTCCTCTTCTGCTTCGCAAATATCCAAAGTGAATGGCGCGAAACAACGGAATCCATTTTATTGGATCAGGATTAGTTTTCGGAAAGACAGTCATGCAATGGGCACTTAGTGCGTAGTGATTAAGATACTATTTTCGAAGGTATTTTATATGAATGTGGATGGCAATAAAGGCAGAAGAAGACTGAAAAAGAGATGGATGGACTGTTTGAAAGATATGGTAAGAAAGGGAGTAAATAACGACATGACTGCGAGGGATGAATGGAAGAAAAAAACATATTACGGCGTCCCCAAATAAATGGATTAAGGAAGAAGCAAATGATGATGACGGACGCTTTATCATTTAGATATAATATTAGTAATGTTTAATTCTTCATACCACAGTCGTAGCAAAAAAAAACGTAATGATACAGCCGCTGGTAGTCTGACCTTGCGTTGTTTTTTTTCGCGTACGGATTTAGCTAACTTTTTGTTTTAATTAATACCGCATTGCAATGTCACAATAAAAAGCATACCATCACGACTATTATACCAGTGGGGTAGTCAGAGATATTGTACACTGTCGATGTTGTGACGCAACTCTTGACATGCCCGGGGGAAGCGGATTGTTAGCAACATAAACTGATTACTCCATTGCTAGCAATGTCAGTCAGGTTGACCTCCACGCGGTTACCACAGGAAACGTGATGAATTCCTGATGAATTTGTCACGATGGGCCAACTGACCTGACCTCATGCTCATGTTATCATCCTCCACTGGTGCCCGCCAGCGTAAGCGGATAGCGTAGAGGGTGCTCCATTCCGTAATCATTCATAAAAAAAAACTATTGACATGCCCACATTTCGGTTGGTATATTTGAATAAAAGAGGCAGAAAAATGTAATCTCAATACTATTAATGTTATAAACGCGATAGTTTGTGAGTATATGTTTGTTATTCTTTCACGCAAAAACTATGCTTTTGATGAAACTACATCAAAATAACATATAAACTATTTTTTTTTTGAAATTGTTGCAGGTGAAGTCACGGTCACAGTAAATACCTTACCACGTATTATTTTTACGAGTTCCCCTAGTAACAAACGAAGACGTGTGAAGGTAAACGAATACGTCTGCCCATAAAATATTTTTTTACCCTCTTCCCACTGCTACAACATCCATCTATCCTTACTCACAAACTTTCGCGATTATAATATTAAAAAGAAGGCAACTTACGGAGAAAAAAGGTCTGCTTTTATATATTTTTAACAACAGCCAGTAGGTACCTACCAACACCGTTGTATCTTTTTAAATAAACATCCAGGCATTGTAAACTAAATTGCCTTTCGTGAATATTTGAATAAAATTATTTGCGTACTGAATACAATAATAAAATGTTTATATACGCCTAAAACGCAACATGAAAAGTGCATCAAACGTGAAATATTTATTTGGTACGACATGGCGAAGCGGGCTCGCAACGTCGCCCGTCACCGGCCACTGTGGATGGAGGTGTGGCAACGTCGCATGCACGCGCCGCGCTCCCAAAATATAACAAACAGGTGAGTACTGAACTACTGAGTTGTATTTACACCAATTCATTTCAAGATGGCGACCTCAACGACCTTTCAATTGTGGATTTGAGAGTGAGTTTATGTTTAGGATAGGTTTTTAATGGTGCAACCGCCTGCTCTGACGGTGTAATATATGCACGGAGGATCATAAGATGAGCAAAACGACAAGTCTCAAATACGTATTGACGAAATTACCAGAAATTAACTGTGTAGGTTTTAGGGGAGTATTGCGTGGTGGTCGGCCTGACATGGTACATTCAAGATGGCGACTTTCACGATCTTTTACTTGTAATTTGGATATAGTACTCTGCTGTTTGAGAAGTTAGGAATTAGGATCCCATATTGCATTCGCAATGCACTTCTGATTATTTTATACCCATTTTTTAGTCTACAGCTATTCACGAAGCCGTCTCATCACAAGAAGAAAGGGGAATAAACTTGCGTGTTGCTCTTTTATTTAGAGTTTAAAATACGTTGTTTTGATTTAATAATTTTTATTTGTAATATTGCAAATCATGTCACGTCCATTAGGGAGTGGGGTGTTCCACAAATATGACAAGAACGGGGTCGAAAAATCATGAATATTGTGTAGTTATTTATGTATTGTCTCCAGGCTGTTTTCCATGGGCAGAGTCATGGGATAAATCTAGTAACTATGATTATAGAAATCGTACAAAACTAGTTTCCTCTCTAATCCAAATTCATGAACTTTGTGTGATTTATGCTGTTTCCACACGGGCAGTGTCACGAGATAAATCTAATAAAAAAAAAACAAATATAAACATAGAAATAGTAAAAACTATATTTCATTCGTAAACCAAATTCAACGAAAATAGAATATTATATTCACTTGCATATAAGTACAGACAGATTGAAATACCTACTACATATAGTAGTATAATATTTATAATTATTATTCATTTCGGTACATACCCAGTCAATACTACATATCTATACTAATATTTTAAAGCTGAAGAGTTTGTTTGTTTGTAAGCGCTAATCTCGGAAACTGGTTCGAATTGAAAAAATATTTTTGTGTTGGATAGTCCATTTGTCGAAGACTGCTTTAAGCTATATAACATTACGATACGACCAATAGGAGCGGAGCTGCAATGAAAAATATGGCAAAAGGTGGAGAAATGAAAAGCAGACAAAGTTGTGCGGGTCAGCTAGTATTAAATATACAAGTAGGCACATACACACCGGTAATTAAAAAAAGAATCGTAAAACATAAATATAAAATGTATAAATTTATATCTTGTCTGTTTGTATTATTTAATTTGTGTATAGAGTCGTAATGTTTCCCATATCCTGGGGACTAATTATTTTTAGTTTCCCATATCCATTCATTGCTGATATCTGCGAGAATATATATATATAAAAATTTTTAGTATTCAACATTAAGGAATTCAGCATTCATTGCTGTATATCAAAAACAACATTTTATTTTCCCATACAAACTGTCAATCTTTTCTTACTAATATTATAAACTAGAAAGTTTGTGAGTATGGATGGATGTTTGTTACTCTTTAACGCAAAAACAACTAAACAGATTTAGATGAAACTTTACAGTAACAGAACATGTTTAACATGACAATAACACATAGGCATATAATTTAAAAAGATGTTATGTAAATTGGATAAAATATAATGATAAATGTCAAGTGTGATTACGAAGTTCGCGGTCAGATAGTTATATATATGTATATATATTATTAAGCATATATATGATATAACAGTTCATACATAGATAAATAGTTTATTTGATGATTTAAATATAAATCATACACACTTCATAAATGTGTACAATACTTTTATGATATATTAAAATACTAACAAACACGCGTCTATATACATGCGTTATTCATTTATAATATATTATTGTAAAGTTTCATCTAAATCCGTTAAAAATTTTTGAGCGAATCACAAAACATCGATCGTTTAGTATTTTATTCATTTATGAAAATAATAAAATGTCTGTAAAAATATATTGTAATAAAAACAAATGACATAATTCTGTTATTAAAATAATTAAAGTTTAACTGCGAAAATACATTTGAATAATAATAAGTCTGTGAATCATTTCTGAAACCATTTTAATATGGAGGTTAAGATATACTAAATATATTTTTAAAAAGTCGCTAAAATACTGCAAGAAGACAATGAGAAAATGTACGAAATTTTTAATTCCTTTGTTCGAGGTAAAACTTTCTAATGTTGGCAACCCTAGCCGGGGCCTGGCCGACCCATAAAATTCAGTTCGCTGCAGACCGCCGTGCGATGCGCACGTAGTTTGTCGAGATGGCTAGCAAAAACAGTGTATATTACATCAGTGGCACTTTATGTTCAGTAGACGGGTGCAGGTCTAGCAAGAGGAGAGACAAGAATCTTTCCTTTTTCCATTTACCTGCTGATAAAAAAAGGTGAGTTTAGTGTTTTCTTTGATTATTTTTATGTATCTTTACATAGTATAAAATGAAGGCGGTTACGCGGTCTGTTCGTTTAGATCTTTTAAACGGATTTTAATGCAGTTTTTAGCAATTGACTGATTGAAGAGGAATGTTTATATGTATACGAGTACACTCGTGTGAAGCAGGGGCGGTTAGCTAGTTTAAAATAACAAGGCGGCTGATGCCAACAGGAGTTACATTATTTTATTCATGGCAAAGGTTTTAATAGATCTATCCGTAACTGTCTTTTGTATGATTTATTCGTTCAATAAAGTCATTTAAAACTATTTGATAACCTCAACTTTGTCTGCATAGTATTAGTACTTTGAATTGCCTATTTCTGGATTACGACGATTTTTCTAATCCTATATTTGAGAAATTACTTCTCCATACAAACTTTCATCCCCAATTTTAGACCCAAACAAACATTCATCCCCAATTTTAGACCAGTTTTGTTTTGATTCCAGACGTGACACATGGGCAAAATTGATCGGCAGGCCGGACTTATCGGACCCTAAGAAGAGATTTGACTCCCATTCTGTCTGTTCGTTACATTTCGAGCCGTGTATGATAACATACACACCAAAATTACGACGCAACACAGTGCCGACGCGGCAACTCCCTCACAATTCAAGCAACGACGAGATAATCGCTACAAACTCGAGAACAAGAGATATGGCCATACAAACTGACGACTGCAATGATACCGATGATGTGAAGTTTCCTAATATAAAATATATATATGTAAAAGAAGACATTTCTGTAGATGTAAAGGAAGAGCCTGAAAGCGACTGACAGACTGCTACTGGCTGTTAATTACATGTATAGACCAAGAGCTAGCTGCCTATTTTCATTCTGCTGGCCGTTAATAACATGTATAGTCCGAGAGCTAGCTGCCTATTTTCATTCTGCTGGTCGTTAATAACATGTATAGTCCAAGAGCTAGCTAGCTATTTTCAGACTGCTGGTCGTTAACATGTATAGTCCAAGAGCTTGGAGTTTTCAAAACGAATAGCTCAGTTTCAAACAATGGGACGGATTTTAAAAATTCAATTGGCTATTATATATAATTGGGATAGATATTTTCTTAAGAAATAACTTAAGCTATGTAGTATTATTGGGAGCTGAGCAGAATGAAAAAAGGAAACGAATAGCAAACGATGCTGTTTATATATCTATTTTAATTACATAGCGGAGTATATAAGTAATATGCATTAAATGTATAACTATTGCTCTTTTATATAAGCACCAGTTGTGCCCGCGAGTTTACTCGCGTATTGTGTATATGTATAATTAAAAAAGCCATCCGTTAAAAATGTTTTATAGTTTTTATAGACTTTGTTAACATAACATTTGATAAATTTCCATTGTGTAATTATTGTTTATCTATATGTTGATGAGATATAGCAGTGAACTTACTGGGTACGTAGGCATATCATCGTAGCCCTCGGGAATGGCAAGTTTAAGTGATGCCACGAGCGGTGATGATGTGATGTCAGTGGTGCTGTTCATTTTTTTTTGACTACTCTAATGCTGTTGGCCGCAGCTGGCCTTTACAGCTTCACCGGACGATAGGGGGTGGGTGCAGATGGCACTCCAAACCGCGGAAGGACTTATGGACCGGCTGAAGGCCAACTCCTATCTGACGGATAGGTTATTCATTAAAATCCTGTATATATAATTATAAATTATGGTTAAAAATGAACTTAAGTTCGAAAGACAATATTTTCGTATAATTAAATACCTAAATAGCAATTTAAATTGTTCTTTTTACTTTAATAATGTTCGTTTTAGTAATTAATAATAAATAAATGAAAATTTATTAGATTTTTATTAAAATGCCTATTTTGCGGAAGCGGACGCTGTTTGTATCTCAGAGAGATCCGTGGATATGATCATTGAAAACTATTGAAAACACATAATATATACTTTTATAATAATTTTAATACAATTAAAGATGTAAATTTTAAAAAGTATAACTCTTTTAAGAACAGAGTTTTCTGTTTAAAAATCATTACACAGTATAAAACAAAGTCGCTATCGCTGTCGGTTCGTCCCTATGTATGCTTAAATCTTTAAAAGTACGCAACAGATTTTGAAGCGGTTTTTTTAATAGATAGAGTGATTCAAGAGGAAGGTTTATATATAATACATGTACACCCGTGCGAAGCCGGGGCGAGTAGCTAGCTATAAAATAAACTACTAAAAATGTTTTTAATAATCCAATAATTACTTTCGTTCTAGTTTCCATTCTATTATCGTATAGCAAACAGAAATTATGTAATGTATTTGTCATATTATGTATGGAATAATCTTAATTATTTGTGTATTAGTTATAATTAAGTAAATCCATAGTGATAATGGAATTTTCTAGTAATTTAAAATACCTACTCACTACTGTTATCTGGTCATGATTCATATTATAACCTTGGATTTATTTATATAATGAAAATAGGTACAAAGTAGACACAGTTAAAATTTATAAGAAGGGGGTCTGAAACCTAATTTTTCCCATAATAAAAACAAAGTCGTCGCCGCTGTCTGTACGTTTATATCTTTTGAAATACGCAATGGATTTTAATGCAGTCTCCACTATAGACAGAGTTATTCAAGAGGAAGGTTTATATGTATAGTACATGTACACCCGTGTGAAACCGGGGCGGTTAGCTAGTATACTATAACATAAACCCCGGACAAAGTGAAAAAAAAATGCAACGTTATAAGCTTGCATTTTTTTTTTCACTTGTATAATACATGCTTGTTATAGTATAGAACAAGCCGAGAAGTTCAATGATTTGTAATGAGTCCGTACGAAGCCGGGTCGGGTCGACAGTTTTGACAATAATGCTTTTAAACATTTATGTTGTTTTCGATTCAAAAATACTGAAACTGTTTTTTTACTATCTATTCTAATGCCGTTGGCCGCAGCTGGCCTTTACAGCTTTACCGGACGATAGGAGGCGAGTGCAGATGACACTCCAAACCCGCGGAAGGACTTATGGAGCGGCTGAAGGCCAACTCCCGCCTGACGGATACGACTTTAGTCTGAGGGCACCGCTAGTGATTCGAACTTCGGCTCAGACCGTCGTAATTTCGATTCCCGTTTGAATTGGACGATCGATTGGAGGGGTGACGTAATTTATACACGACTGCCCTATGTCTGTATGTATGTATGTCCCTTTATAACGGTTTAACATACTGCGTCATTATAGTCTCAAATTCGGTACACGCCCAATATATACAATAGAAGTAGAAATAGTATTTTTAAAGAAATTAAATAGTATTTTATTAAAGAAATCAAATTAAGTTATCACTTTTGACTAGTCATATTTTTTTTTACTCCACCACTACACCACATTAGAATATAATAGAACATCCTTTAGTCAAGTAAACTTAATTTAAGCACTTTTGAATAGTTATATACACATATTTTTTTTAATCTACCGCTCATTCAGAAAGCTGTCTCATCACAAGCAGAACGAGCAAGAAACTTGTGTGTTGCTCTTTTAAATAATCCTTGTAAGTTTACATTGTTCAAATCCAAACGTGTGAATACATACTACCAACTAGCACTAATTTATTAGGGTCAACATTCCGAACACAGACTCGTCAAAAGAAGAACGAACAAGAAACTTACGTTATTTCTTATACCTATCTCATGGTTTAAAATACATTTTTAAGAATTTTGTGTGTTTAGGAGATACAATAATTTAAATACACACACAATGATCAATATAGGCAATAATAAAACAATCGGTCATTGGTGCTATCTTATTATATAACATTATAAAAGCGAAAGTTTGTGAGAATGGATGGATTTTTGTTACTCTTTTAAGCAAAAACTACTGAACATACTTTGATGAAACTTTACACTAATATAGCTTCATCATCATTGCCTTGCCTTTATCCCATTATTTGGGGTCGGCGCAGTATGTCATTTTCTTCCACTGATCTCTATCGGTCGTCATATCTAAACATACTCTTCTTTTATTCATATCATCTTTCACACAATCCATCCATCTTTTCTTAGGGCGTCCCCTCCCTTTATATCCATCCACATTCATATTATACACTTTCCATAAGACATGGTCCTATAATAACATATAGGCTATAAATTTCACGAAGCACAACTAGTAAAGAGTATAAGTAAAATGACAGACGAATAAACTAGAGTCATGCAACAAAATTGACGTGAGCACGACAGGGCAGTCGCATAGTCAAGTCGTGCCGATTGGCCAAGCCTCCGCGTGCGCATAAACGCGTCAAGGCGCGGCAGTCGCGTCGCGCCGCGCTACAGGACGGTGCGTTTTTTTGTCGCAATGTCGTTTTTCAACCCGGCCGATCTGATTGAAGAGATCAAGAAGCGGCCTGGCTTGTATAAGACTGACACTCCAGCTGATAGGGAGGAGAAATTAGCGTTGTGGAAGGAAGTCGGTGCAACGATATACCACGACTGGGAGACGTTCAGTAAAGCCACCGCTTACGACAAAGGTGCGTTCAATTCAGTTATGACATCTTTATTGTGCTTGACGCCATATTGTATTTGTTATAGAAAGTTTTTGGTCTGTGGCATTTATACAAATGTATTGATACATGTTTAGGTGTATATTTTCTCTTTTCTGTATAATGCAAATAAAAGGATATTCTATTCTATTCTATCTTTAATGGGACACTGGTTAATGTGGCTGTTTTATTAAAACTATTTCAATGTTTTTACCGATATATTTAAAAATATGTATAAATACAAATACTTAATTTTTAAGATACTTTCAGCGTTTTATATTACAGGAAAATAACTTGGGATGTATTGAAATGAACATTTCGTTGTTTGAGGAAATTAATTAGTGATTAAATATAGGTATATAATAAAAATTACTTTGAATAAAAATATTTTGTTTTTTATATAAATTCACAGTTAGTAGTCCTGATTTTAGATATCAAGTGCAGTTATTTACTAGTGACTTTGACAAGTTTTTTTTTATCTGTACAATAACTAAAGCAGGTTTAAACTGTAGTTTTTTACTGCTACAAACAGGGTTTTTTTTTTATTATAATGGAATGGAGATCGTTACGTGTTACAGCCACTGATTGGGTTATTTCCTTCTGACAAAATACAATTTTTTTTTGCATTTTTGTCAAAACCGTTAATTAATTCTCTCTAATTGAATTTGAAAAGACTAAGAGGTGAGTTTCTTGTCAGTTCTTAGCTTGAAAGCACTCCGAACTGACGGTAGATTTGTCATATCGTAAGAGTCTGTAATAGACCTACATGAATAAAGATATATTACTTTGATTTCGTCTTTATCAAGTAATAGAGTAAGCTTTACTATGTTTATTAGTATGATTTAATTTTAAAGGGTAAATAGTAAACGGCTTACCCTTTTAATCTTTAAAAAAATTCCACTTTTTTTTGTAATGTTAGAAAAAAAAGTGGAATTTTTTTTTATGGATAAATATTCAATGGCTTACCATCGTTATAAAAAATAAATTAATATTTTCAGTACTGCAATTGCAAAGAAAATGGCGATCCTTAAGAGATGCTTATAACAGGGAGCTGAGGGCTCGAAAAACCGGCGTCAGGATCAACCGGAGGGTGTACAGATATTTCAAAAGGATGAGTTTCCTCGGAGGTTTCACTGGGACTGTTAGTGAAGAGTAAGTTATCTATAAAAGCATCTGAAAATGAAATCTCTCATCTCATCAGCAAATGAAATTGTAAATTGTTCACTCAACGCTAAACGGTTACACATGTGTTTAGCGGCTCTGAATATTGTTTCGTTTTGTTTATACAACTTAGTAACATTAATAGTGCACGCTGTTGCCATCTTTTCAGTTAAATTATTAATATTTATAAAAAAATGTAACAAATAAACTATTTTCTCTATATCTGCCAATAAGTACCGTGCTATTGTAGTATATACATACTTGTTGATCAGCTGTTTTCTGACTTAAGACAGTGAATTAACAGAATATGGAGACGTGTAAATATAAATACAAATATTTTTAATTTGCCTAAAAAGTGGTTTACAGGAAGTAATAATATATTATTCATGATAATTTATCCTATCTTATCTACCAGAATCTGGCATGCAAATATGACATCTTAGGTAAGGTTGTAGATATTAACGTTAAACACATATATGAATAAACTCTTATGGCAGTTCTACAATAATACTTAGAATTACGAAGTGAAATGAAATTATTGTTAGTTGAGATTAAAATCTTTGTGAGCGCAATGTCACAGCAGTACAGGGAGCGGGCGACTAAGAAATCATTAGCACTGGGTGTCGGGGCCAACGTTTGTTTATGCGTAGCTGTAGGTAACACTAACATTGAGCCGCTACAAGGTAATACTTGAGGGAGTTTATATTTTTCAATTATTATATTAATAAATAAATCTTTTCAGCGATGACGCACCAGACGAAGTGGACAACGGCGACGACGACAGTCAATTCCAAAAGGTGGTAAAAGTAAAGAAGCCTCGCAAAAAACGCCACAGAAAGTCCAGTTCTGATGGCATACCTGCCCCTGAGGAATTGGAAATGCCCACATTCCCCATCGAAATGGCTGATGAGGGGGAAAGCGACAGTGATAGGTTGTTTCTTCTGTCTTTCCTGCCGGAAATGAAGCAACTGCCAGTGAATATTAAGATGTGGGTGCGGGTACAGATAGCGAATGCTATGCAGGAAGCTGTGTCTTGCCATTATAATAACACGCAGCCTGGCAGTTCTGGCAGTAGGAATGGCATAGATAGTAAAAGGGAAAGACAAGACAGCACAGACTAAATAGATATATATAATAATAATAATAATCTCATGACAATTCACACAGCGCCATCTAGACCCCAAGTTAAGCTAGCTAAAGCTTGTATTATGGGTACTAGACAACCGATACAAATACATAGATTTTCCTTCGTAAATACATAGATATTATACATAGAAACTACCAGACCGATACAAATAATCATACTCATGAATACAAATGCTTGAGCCGTGCGATGAATCGAACCCGCGACCATCAGACGTAAAACGGTGTGCTAGACCGCTAGACCACCGAGGTCGACAACTATTTATAAACTAAAACTTAAAAATAGATAATGAAATTCGAACTAAACTATACCCCGTTAAAGTTCTTTAATTAAAAACTTATATAATACAATTTGCAACTTAACTATAAACTGAAATCTTATCTTACTGATATTATGAATGCGAAACTTTGTGAGTATTGATGTTTGGGTGGATGGGATGTTTTTACTCTTTGAAAAACAACTGAAATGAAATAACTTTACAGAAATACAACTTATACATCAAAGGGGGTTCGATGCGGGTTCGATTCCTCGCACGGCACAAACATTTGTATTCATGAGTATTGTTTGTATCAGTCTGGGTGTTTTCTATGTATAATATGTATCTATTTCACGAAAAAAAATCTATGTATTTGTATCAGTTGTCTAGTACCCATAACTTTAGCTAGCTTAACTTGGGTCTAGATGGCGCTGTGTGAATTGTCCTGAGATTATTATTATTATTATTATTAAACAGTTGTTTTTCTGATGAGTGAACTGTCACAAAGTACATAATATAAGACTGGTTTAAGTATATTGTTATTGCATTTAAGCATTTTTAAGTCTATTAAAGAAATTGATAAGTTATCAAATCGTATTATGAACCCTGTATGTTACATCAGACACTGCGCTAAATTCTTACTATTGTGCTTATATAAAACTAGCTGTACCCGCGGCTTCACTTGCAAATTTACACCCCAAAATTTATAGTCTACTAGCTACTCGCCCCGGCTTCGCACGGGTGTACATGTATTATATATATAAACCTTCCTCTTGAATCATTCTATCTATTAAAAAAACTTCAAAATCCGTTGCGTAGTTTTAAAGATTTAAGCATACATAGGGACAGAGAGCGACAGCGACTTTGTTTTATTTTAATACTATTTTTTCCAAGAGGAAGGTTTACATGTATAATACATGTACACCCGGGCGAAGCCAGGGCGAGTAACTAGTGAATAATACATAACCGATTGGAATGAAACAACATAATACATATTTGTTATTAATTATTAGTTCTAATTGTGTATTTATTAGTGTTTATTTTCCTTATTTACGGTACCTTGCGTGTCCTTGTAGACATATACTGTATTTATGTAATTATTGTTAATAAAGGCTTCATAATTTAAAATTATAGTACTTTATTTTATATTTATAGCATAAGGGACAAACGAGCTCGCGGCTCACCTAATGGTAAGTGCTTATCGCACACCAGGGGAATCGCAAGTGTGTTGCCGGCCTTTTAAGAAGGAGTAAGTTCTTAATGTGATTGCATTGTTTCGGTTTATGTGGTTTTAACTGTAAATTCGACAGCCTCGGTGGTCTAGTGGTTGGCACACCACTTTACTTCCGATGGTCGCAGGTTTGATTTCTCGCACGATGTAAACATCATTCGTATATTCACGAATAAGATTGTTTGTATTGATTTGGGTGGTTTCTATGTATTTTATTTTATGTATGCATATAAAAATGTATCTAAATTTTCTATTACTTACCGATAACACAAGCTGTGCTTAGCTCGGTACTAGATAGCGCGGTGTGAATTGTCTTGGGTTATAATTATTATTAATTAAGATTGAAATTTAAAAATTAGTAGATTATATTATTAATGACATAATCATCGTAAGGCTTGACTAAAAAGTACTTGTATTGAGAGCCGTAAAACATAATAAACAAAAAAGAAAAATTGGTATATAAACATAACTTTAAAAATTAAACTAGCAAAACAACAACGCATTTTAACTCACGTAACTTTAACCCAATTGTTAAGTTTGGGCTCAAAAGTGCTTGTATCCAGAGCCGTAAAATATAATAAATAAAAAAGCTCGAAGAAAAGGTATGTACCATAATTTTGAAAATGACAAGAGTAAAACAATAACGCGTTTTAACTCACGTACCCAAATAAGGGTGTGTTTGCCAAGTTTTTACATGTAGGTTGGCTCAAGAAAGTATGCTATTCAGCCATGCCCAGTGACGGGAACGGCTACAAATAAAAAATGGCGGAAGCGCGCCAAAATTGTGTACGCAAATTACTTGGCAGCGTACACACCGCTGTGGAGAACTTCGCACATTAGGATTATGAAGTTTTTAAGAAATAATTTAAATTACTTTTGTTTGCTGGCAGGTTATGTGACACTGTATAAAATCTATAATAACTCGTAGACCCGGCCACGCGTTGCTGTGCACAAAAATTCCTGAATAAAATAATATTGCGACTATAAATTGAGATGTAAGCTATCCTATCTTTCAATTTAGATCAAATTGTACACAATGTGCAAATCAATTTGGTTTGGTTTAGTGGTAGAAGGGTGAAAATGTAGGGTTGTATCTATGAATTTAATAATGGCAAATAAAAAAAATCTGATTTAAATACTCAGATTTTTTTTTAAAATGCATATATTGTATACCTTAGAAACACATGCCATTACGAACATACATACTTAGGAATACGAATGTTTGTACTGTGCGAGAAATCGAACCTACAACCATTATAAGAAAAGCGGCTTGCTAACCGCTAGAACACCGTGGCCGTCTGTGATATTATATGATTTAAAATTTCGTTCCGCTTTGTAACTATTTAATTAAATAACTAATTACAGAGCCCCGTGATATTTTTTGTAAATAAATACATATTACACATATAAAACAACCAGACCGATACAAACAATCATACTCATGAATACAAAATATTTGAATCGTGCGAGGAATCGAACCCGCAACCATCGGATAGTAAAACGATGTAGTAAACCACCGAGGCTGTAGTAAATAACAGTAAAAGAATTTTTTTATTGCACCTTTAAAAAAAATACAAAACAAAACAATATACATAGTATGTAAGTCGAAAAGGCGGTCTTATCGCTTAAGCTATCTGTTCCATCATCATTCATAAATAATCATGAGATTTATTAATTTTTATACTGAAATTTAACTATCCCACGGGAACTCTGTAATTTTCCGTGATTAAATCTAAGATGTTGACCGGAGATGTTAGCTACCTCCATGCAAAATTTTATTTAAATCGGTCCGGCAGTTTCGGAGATTGGCCTGGACAAACAGACAGACAGAGAAACAATAAATTTGAATGAAATCTAAATGTATTCCATTTCACTTCTAACATCCCTCTGACTTGGTTTTTGGCGTGTTTTCCTATGTACCTACCTACAGACATTCGACCTACTCTTTCATTATATGTATAGAGACGTAAAATAACATAGATTAGATGAATAATATAGATTACTAGCTGTCCCGGCAAACGTGGTTATGCCTTAAAATAAAAAAAAAATTTAGGGGTGTACTACCCCTAACATATAGGGGGATGAAAAATAGATGTTGGCCGATTCTCAGACCTACTCAATACGCTCAAAATATCACGAGAATCGGTCAAGCCGTTTCGGAGGAGTATGGGAACGAAAACTGTGACACGAGAATTTTATATATAACATTTATTTTTATGTAGAATAAATAAATAATTATAGAATACAGAACCTATTCTAGTACTTTACCAGATATTTAGATTTCTTTTAAGTCAACTCTTGTACCTGTAACAACAAAATAACAATTATTAAATTTATTAACAAGTATTTATTTATTACAGATTATATTTATAATACAATAAAGACAATATATTACTAAATGGTTTTTTTTATGGATCATAATGGAATGGTGTACTCGCCGTCGCTAACGGTTTTTTTTTATAACAGAGGACAAACGAGCATGCGGCTCACCTGATGGTAAGTGATTACCGCCGCCCATGAGCACCCGCAACACCAGGGGAATTGCAAGTACGTTGTTGCCCTTTTAAAAAGGAATAAGCTCTTTTCTTGAAGGTTTCAATACGCTAAGGTTTCATTACGCTGGTAGGGCACTAGCGGAGGATGATAAGATAAGCATGAGGTCAGGTTAGTTGTTAGCCCATCGTGGCAAATTCACCAAGAATTTATTACGATGGTTTCCAGAAGGAACCGCGTGGAGGTCGACCTGGTATGACAGAAATTTTGGGGCCTATTACTATGAATCTCCATTCCTGGAAATAAGACGGTCCGTTACTTGATTATAAATGAAGGCAACTGTAAACTAACAACTACAAACTCGAAGACTAAGTTTAGACGTTACAGGACTACAGTAAAGTGTAGACGAACCGAGAGAACAATACTAGTGTAAATAGCATAGTGTGATAAGAGCCAGCCATAACATCTGTTTGCTACATGAGCAAACTTAAACATTCTGAATAATCAAAACAATCAATAAAGGAGACGTTGCCGTTTACGAGAGATGCGACGTTGCAACACCGCACGCTGGCAGCCGGCGGAAACGCTGCGGTATCGCTCCGCCAACGCTGCGGCACTCCGGCACGACCGTCCGTAACACACGCCCGCGCGCCACACGCAACTGCCACGCACGTTTCCCGCGCTTTACAACGGAATCTGCTAAATGTCTGCATATTGCTTGGATGTAGAAACGTTTATTAGTGAAGTGAAAAAATACCCAGAAATATGGGATTTGCACAGTGAAGATAATAGATTCAAAAACAAAAAGCAACGGGCTTGGGCTGAGATAGCGAGGGTTTTTATTACTGATTTTGATGATATGCCAGACATCGACAAAATAGATGTTTGTGAGTATCCCATGGGGCTATTTAGTTATAATAAAAAAAACTTTTAAAGTGTAATCAAATAAAATTAGGTACTAATATCTGGTGAATAGTGTTCACTTTTGAAAATGGCCTAAATAAAGAAATAGGTTAGGTCAAATTAAAAACTAAGTGAAATAAATGTTTTGTGCTGTGCTTTCAAGTTAGTTAGATACAAATTAACATCGAACGGGTGCAATTACTGTAGGAATCAGATTTTTTTTAAAAATAAAATAAAGCTGAAAATGTAGTGGTCTCTATACCTGAAAGAATTCAATTAAAATCAAATAATTTTTTTTAACGTTTTTATCATAACAAGCAAAAATCAAAGTTTTAGATTTAAACTACATTAAAAGAATCAGAGCGTCGTGACCTAGTGATTTACTACCCCGAATAGACCGTGATAGGTCGTGAGTTCAAATACCTGGCCTGGCTCACCAGAAAACTTATGTCGATTTGTATTTCAGTGGTGTAAATACTGATAAAAAAAAACTAATTTAAGACAAGAGACGGCAGTAGGCTAATAATCTCTTAGGTGTTAAATGTTAGATTCAAATTAAGGATATATGGACATATAAAGTTTTGCGTTCACAAATATCTGACTAACTCATGTGGTATTTTATATTTATAATTACATATATATCTTTACATAGTATAAAACATATACGTCGCCGCTGTTTGTTCGTTAATATCTTTTAAATTACGCAACGGAATTTAATGCAGTTTACAGAAATAAATAGAGTGATTCAAGAGGAAGGTTTATATGTATAATACATGCGTGTTATAGTATAGAACAAGCCGAGAAGTTCAATGATTTGTAATGCGAAGTAGGGACGGATCACTAGTTTTTATGAAAAATAAATAATCAGTTATTGCTATACATATAAAGTTTTCTGTAAGTCCCATTTAGTCAGTTCCAGAATTAATTTACACTATAGGACATTTTAAGAGTCTTTTTTTTATAACCCTACCGTTTAAGTTTAGTGTGAGTTTGTCTTGAGAATCATAGTCATTGACTTCTCTACTCTATCTTTCTATATGTATACTAACTAAAAGTCTTATCAACTTCAACTTAGCCGTCTAGCCCAGTCGAGTTACATAAAAAACAGTTTACAAGATTCGAAGTAGAAATCGATTATAGGTGTATGAAAAGTACATATACGTTCAACTTGCTGAAATGAATTTTAATCTCTTTTTTATATTTTCAATTTTACTTCTTGGAAAGATTATTTCAGTCATATGAATATTATCACTGGGTTTTGACTTATAACCCCATTACGACGAATCGTATAGTATATTATAAAACTTACACTACACTACACTTTTCTATAAAACATATTAACTTAAATTACGAAAAAGATTAAAGACTACATATATTTGATATTACCATAAACAAAATTTTACAATAACAGTAATTATTACACAATAATTAAAGCACTAATATATACACATTTGTAAATAGTCATAATTATTTGAATTATTAACATAGTTCAAATATTTTTTTGACAAAATGGCTGACAGTAATTTTTTTAGAGAATAAACATGGTTTCATATATATTTAGCAAGATTATAAATTTTTCTACAGAATTGAATGTGGCAGTTAATTTTTAAATATTAATTCCCGTATATAAATATACTAGCTGACCCTTCCAACTTTGTCTGCGTCACGTTTCCCCATTTTCCATTGCAGCTCCGCTCCTATTGGTCGTAACATGATGTAGCTTATAACACTTTCAAATTTAAAATATCTTTATTCATGTTGGTCTATTACAGACTCCTATGATATGTCAAATCTACCGTCAGTTCTGAATGATTTCGAGATAAGAAGAACTGACAACAAACTGAGCTCGTATTTTCAAATAAATGTTGTACTCACACATGACATGGCCTTCATTAGTTTAGTAGATCCAGTGATTACACCCTACAACCTCACAAACTTTACCACTATAATTTTAGTACATACATAAAAAGAATATTTCACCCACACTGAAACAAATCGATAAATGATTGTAAATCTGTACAAAGTCCCACACGAGCGGGCTTCCCAAACTTATACAAACCCAGATAAACCCGGGTGTGGACGACATACTTAAGTTGCACTGAGTGCAAGGAGATTGTTATTAATGTGGTCTGATGCCCCCAATGCTAGCAATGTCAAGTTCGCCTCCCTGGAAATCGTCGTAATATCCTGGTGATTTTGCCACGATGAGCTTGACGTCATCATCATCCCATCATATTCCACTGGTGCCTCGCCTGCGCAAAACCGGGAAGGCAGGTGCACCATACCATATTGATCCAAAAAATCCAGAGTCCTCTAAACTAATCTATAACATAAATTCAGCGTTCCTTGAATGAATGTTACAATAAATTGTTTCAGATAGAAAACTACACGGCAAATGGCGCAACATACGGGACTCGTTCGTCAGACACGTCAAAAAGAAAGACGGCAAACGTGGCTACATGTACGCAACGCAATTGTCATTCCTGAACGACATCTACAAACCAGAGTGCAGCGATGACGACATAGACAACGACCCGTGGCCGAGCGACGCTGACGATGGGCACAGATTCAAAAAGATATCCTTGAAACGTAGACTGGACTTGCTGAGTGAATCCAACATTTGGAATAGCGACTGCGAGGACGCTCCGCCCTCGACCATAGAGAATCTCAAACGAAAACGAGCCAGTAAAAACAAAAAACATGACATAGAGTACGTGGACACGCCCTATGTAGACGCGAGCGGGTCTGCTTTCCAAATAGAGGATGAAGATAGGTCCTTCTTTGAATCCGTCCTACCGATCGTGAGAGGGTTTGACGTCGATCAGAAATTAGAGTTCCGTAGTGAAATATTAGGATTAATAAAGAACATTAGGTCGAATAGTATTAGAAAGTTTACGCTTGATCCAAGTACAGGAGACTTTAATGATTAAAGGTTAAATATAGATAAAACATAAATAGATAGTCAAGCTAGATATAAAATTCATTCCAATTTTGTTACAATAAAAACTTCTTGTTTTATATGTTATTTCAATACCTATATAGATATTAGAATAGTGGGTTTTTTTAATGGATGATAATGAAATGGTGCACCCGTCTGCGCTAATGGTTTATGCAGGCGGGGTACCAGTGAAAGATAAGCTGAGCATGAAGCCAGGTCAGTTAGCCCATCATGACAAATTCACCATGAATCATGAATTATCACGATGGTTTCCAGAGAGGACCGCGTATAACCGCGATAATATATATCTATATCTATATTTTATTCTATTAAATATTGCCTCTGAGTAGTGCATAGATCCTATTAAGTAGATAAGGGGTCACCAAACTTCAAAGTTTTAGGACCATAATGATTTTTCCAGCATGTTCCAAGGGTCAAAACAATGTAATTTTTCTGCCCTTATATATTTGTAACCAGTCTATAAATATTTCTAGAGATTGGTTACAAAGTGCTAAACCTTAGTTTTATGCTGTTGTGGGCCACATTGATCGTATCGAGAAGTAAGCCGTTATTTGGAGACCACGTCACTAATCTTACGCTGACCAGGGCAGGAATGATGGCATTGGCGGGAGAAATTTTGTCCGTAAGCAGTAGTTTGGAGACCCATGAGGTGCCTCTACGGTAACAGCTTACACTGGCGGGGCACCAGTATAATACGTTTGCTTATCTCTGAAACGGCTGGACCGATTTTGACGGGACTTTCACTCACAGATAGCTAATTTTGTAAGGAGTAACTTATGCTATTCTATTTTAGAAATTTTAATGAAACTAAAGTTAAATCCACAAGGACGAAGTTGCGGGTAACAGGTGGTATAAAAATAAAATACAATTTCTAAACCTCAGCTGTCTTAATGAATAATGGGTACTTTATATGTAATTATACTTTTATGATACTATTGTATTATACTACCACTAATTATGACTATGTCCTGTTCTGATTAATAATAAATGTTGCTCACCTTAGTCGTTAGGTGGCAGCGTGACATCATCGACTATACTTTAGGGGGCGGCACAGTATTCATAATATTTCAGGACAATTCACAACAGCGACATCTAAACCCAAGCGTAACAGAGTTTTTTTTTTATTAAATTTATTTGTTTCTACTATACTGTTTTTATTATCACATTTTTTTTTTTTTGTAGGCATTACAAATATATTATGTAGTACTTCAGCCGCGATTTGATACGGCCAAAGTTTTAATTGTATAATGTGTTCCTCTGGAGGGGATAGCGTAACAGAGCTTGTGTTATGAGTACTAGATAACTGATATAAATACTAAATATATTTTTTTTAATTACATGTATAATATAACAGAAAGCTCTGGGAGAAAGGATTGACAGTAATGGGAACTAGTGCTAACAATGTACTGTTAGATTGACCTCCACGCGGTTGCCCCTGGAAATCATCGTGATAAATTCTTGTTGAATTTGTCACGTGTGCTAACTGACCTGACCTCATGTTCATCTTATCATCCTCCACTGGTGTCCCGCCAGCGTAAACCGTTCGCGTAGGCGGGTGCACCGTTCCATTAACCTCAATTATAAAAATATATAACATAGAAAACACTCAGATCGATACAAACAATGATACTAAGTAATACACATATTTGTCCCGTGTGAGGAATCGAACCCACAACCGTTAGAAGTAAAGCAATCTGCTAAACCTTCAGATTATTATATAGATACAATGATACTCATTGAAATTTTTTGTACAGTATGAGGAATAGAACCCGCGACCATTTCAAGTAAGGCGTTATGCTAAACCGCTAAACAACTGACTTAGTCTTAATTTTAATAATAGATATAAACGCGAAAGTCTGTAAGTATGGATATTTGTTACGTTAAGTATGTTCACGCAAAAATGACTGAACCGATTTTTATGAAACTTTACAGTAATATATCTTATGCAATAGAATAACATATAGTCTATATTTTTATTGAAATTTAACGAAATGATGAAACCGCGGGCACAGCTAGTAGTTATACGTCATTATGAAAAACATCAACAAGTATCACAATTACTCTCGTTTTAAATCTATCTGAATAGTAGCGAGCTCGCAACAACGCGGGAAAGTAGAGGTGTGGCAACGGCGCGCAATCGATATAGCGCGGGGGGTGGGCTCGGCCGCGGGAGGGGAGGTGACCCTTCCGACTACAAAGTAGACGGAGTATATATATATATATATAGTTATATATTTATTTCTATGTTGGTATCTAACAGGGATGCCAACAGTACTAGAATTCTACGAGAAACTGATCACAATCTTTATATAGTGTTCAAACAAAGTCACCGTTCTCTGTTCGCTTATATCTCTTAAATTACGCAACGGATTTTAATGCAATTGTCAGTTATAGATAGAGTGGTTCAAGAGGAAGGTTTATATGTATAATACATGGGTGTTATAGTATAGTATAAAGAAGATATTCAAAGATCTGTAATGCCTCTCGGCTCAGCCGGGCAGGTCGCTAGTAAGTCCATTCAGAATTTATAAAAGAATCTACAAACTTACAAATCTATTTTTAAGTACATAATATCACCATTTGAATAGATATAATTTGTGAAGACAATTATTTGGAGGAAATAATATGAGAATAGTACCAAACACAATGGCTGTACGGGCTTAGTACTTTTGCCATTTTGAGATGGAAAAAACCGAACAGAAAAATCAATTTTTTTGGAGAGATATTTTTGGACTTTGGCACGAGGACAGTTTCAATATACTTTATTGTACTTTTAAATACATATAAGAAATATTGTTAGCAAAAGGAGGACTTATCTCAAAAAGAGATCTCTTCCAGACAACCTTAAACAGCGTGACACCAGAAGTGGTGTGTACAAATAATAAATTTGAAGTAAAGTAACTAAATAAAACTAAAACTAAAGGGTTAATATATAAATACACCCTCGTACAAGTTTGTATGTAATTTTGACTTACGAAAAACTGTCAAAAGAATCATTCATATTTTGTACGGGTAACAGTTAATTGAGCTAACTTAATAAGATTTTTTAATTTCTTCTCACTAGGTTTTTTTAAGGTTGTCACCCCTGGTGTCTGTTATGCATGCGGGCCGGTTTGCGATTAGAACACGCACCTTACGCATGCTATGGGCAGGTCATTATACCGCGAGTACTAACGCGCCTTTATGAACGGATTTCATAAAGACGCATTTCTGAACGGATTCCGTAAAGGCGCCTTTCTGAACTTATTTCGTAAAGGCGCCTTTCTGAACGGATTTCGTATAGGCGCCTTTGTGAACGGATTTCGTAAAGGCGCCTTTCTGAACTTATTCCGTAAAGGTGCCTTTGTGAACGGATTTCGTAAAGGCGCCTTTCTGAACTTATTCCGTAAAGGTGCCTTTGTGAACGGATTTCATAAAGGCGCCTTTTAGATATGCACAAAACTCTTCTTTTTAATAACTGGAATGACAAATTACCGGATGGTAAGTGCTACCTATTATATACATGAACAGTACCTATTATATACATATATTGCCCTTCAAATGAGGCACATTTTACAAAGTTGCTTGGCGGTTGGATTGAGTAAAGCAAAAGCTAACGAAAAGGCGTACGAAAACAACTTTAAATAAAGTGTACTTTGGTAAAATTTCTTTTCCGAGTTCCTGAATTTGAACGAGAGCATTCCAAGTGCTTAGTATTTACTATACACACATCTCTGTACTGAAACCTAGTTAGTATTTTGTACAAAGTGATCTGCGTTATTATCTCCCAGCTTGCTTTGTAAAATATGTTTTGGTTGAGATGTGGTAGTCAAATTGCTGATGCTGTTTGTAGGCATAGAGTTAGTCGTAAAGGGCCGATACCGAGCCGAATGCGACTAGCTTTCTGTATCTTTTTTAATATATGTGACAGTCTCTATCCGTCCTGTTGTAATCTATCTTAACGTTAAAATTCATAAAGTTATTTCCCTAATAGTTCTTTCTCTATAATTTTTATTTTGCTGCTTCTCTTACTTTCAATTTGATGTACTTATAATTAGATTATCAGATCATTAAGTATTTATTTATATAGCATACTAGATATACCCGCGACTTCGTCCGCGTGGATTTTAACTTTATTTTTCTAAAATAAAAGTAGCCTAAGTTACTCCATATTACATCAGCTACCTGCCAAAAAAAGTCCCGTCAGAATCGGTCCAGCCATTTCAGAAATTAGCCGGAACAAACAGACAGCCAGACAGACAAAAATTTATAAAAAATGTTATTTTGGTGTACGTACCTTATTTATATTCATATGCATGTAGTAAAAAACGGTTATTCCAATATTACAAACAGACACTCCAATTTTATTTATATGTATAGATGTATAGGTTTATCTTTATACCTATGTATATTATTTTTTATAGAAAGTATATATATATTTGTAACATGTCTTATTTATATTAGTGCACAGTTGTTGACTCTTTCTCTGCACCACTCATGGTTGCCTGGTAGATAACGCCCCAAAGTGTTAAGTCCGCCATATGTACACATTATTGTGTATTGAAGTTAAATAAATAAATAAATATCGTATAGTCATGAAAGGTAACAAATTGACAGACACATTATCGTATAACATTAGATATGTATTAGGCAAACCGTATTGACTCTTAAATCCATAGAATACCAAATAACATCTCAAAACCACAGATACACAAGATAATGGTGTTAAAAAACATATTTTCTTATCTGACCTTGAATTGATACACGCTTTTATATTTACATCACCTACACAAACTCGCCATGAATACAAATTGAACACACATTTGCTGGTAGTGGCCATATCTCGCCGTCTCACTCAGCATTCTGTGTAACGAGAAGGATGCTGTATCGATTGGAGTTGGCCAAGTGGGAGCCAACGTTTGGCCAGGACGAAGGGCGACATTGAAAGCCTTCCCAGCAATCAATGAAAGCATGCAAACCCGATAGCGCTCGGGACACGAACAAAGTCGAAACCAAACACTATTTATAAACTCAAATTCATAGCGCTCGCAATATAACTTTTTTTTC